GGTAGGACCAAGCTAGAAATGTTTCTGAGTGACTCTTTAGCCGGCATCTTTAGCCCACGTTAGAGAGGTCAAACTCTTTTGCCTTTAGATTTCCGCCCTCTGTTTCCAGGCCTTCACCGCTCTGGCCTTCACTTCCTTTTCTGTGAGAGGGGCTATGCTGGAGTGCCGTGTAGTGGTCGCATGTTTGGCAAGACCTACAGGTGCTCACGCTGCACCCTCTCTGGTGCCCTGACACCAGCTGTCAGAATGCGCCTCCTCGCCTTCAGGGCCGGGACCCCTGCACCTCCCGGTGCCCTGCAGTTCTGCAGTAAATCCAGAGTTTAAATAGGCTGCTGTGGATTCCAGGCTCGCCCTCAGGCGCATGGACATCTGTCCCTGCTGGCCACTGAAAGGACACCCCATGGGCCCTCCACCTGGGGGTTCTCCCATCTGTGTCATCAGTTTCTTTTCTTTCTTTGTGTGTGGGAGGGATATACCCGGCAGTGCTCAGGGTTTACACCTGGCTCTGCACTCAGGAGTCGCTTCTGGTGGGCTTGGGGGGGACACATGGGGTGCTGGGGATCCAACCCAGATAGGCCATGGACAAGGCAAGTGCCCTACTGCTGTACTGTCTCTCCGGCCCAATCAACTTTTCACTGGGAACGGCCTGCCTGTGCCCTTCCCATCACTCGGACTGTGCCAATGAGCAGGGCATTTAGCTGGAGGGGCTTAGAGACGAACCCTGTGCTGGAGTCTCAGGTGATGACTATAATTTGCTGTTTGGGGCCAAATACGCTGTGAAGACAACACGACTTTCAGGCGCTGGGGTGTGGTTTAGACTTCTGCAGCGTGTATCGTGGGTAGGGATTCTCTGTGTTGAGCACTAAAAGGGGCAGAGGGATAGCCCATGTCTCCCTCCCCGCCCAGGGCAGCCCTGGGTCCAGCGGAGTCATTGGCCCAAGAAGCCCAGGTGGAGGTGGGACCGGTCAGAGCATCTGCATCCAGGGACAGAATGACTGGGTTTCCTTTATGTAGCACCTCACCCCCTGTCTCTCCCGCCTCCTGGTGCCCTGTTTCTGGGCTCTCCTGGCATGTTTGTGCCCAGGATGGAAGGTCACAGGGAGGTGGTTTCTTTTTCCCTTTGCTGTGGCTGGTGTAGTGGGGGTTGCACACACCGCCGTGCTCATGGGTCCGTATGTTGCTGGGGATGGACTCCAGGCTTCCTGTGTGCAAAGTCTGGGCTCAGCCCCCCCAACCCCCCCAAATCTCTCAAGTTCTGAAAACAGGCTTTTAAAATCCAGGCCCAGTCCCGACTCCAGTGACAAGGCGTCTTCCCCAGTGCCCGTCCAGATCTCTCCATGTTGTTTCTTATCCCCAGCTGTGTCAGTATTTTCTCTTGCATCCCAGAATGCTGGGCTCCAAACAGGTCAGTGGCCACACCTTGAGTCCTCTGGGGAAAAGGAGGGTGGTACACCCCCACCACAACACCCTCCTGTCCGTCCTTGCCCACCTTGGGCGTCATTGCATCTGAGCTGTCCTGTGGCTTGTCTGCTTGCTTCCTGTGTGCCAGTCCTCATGGACATGCGTGCACATGCACATACATGCACACATGCATATACACACACATGCACACGCACGCACACACACACCAGGACTCTGTCAGTCCCTTGCCCTGAATTCCTGCTACACATCTAAGCTCATTCATAGCGAGTGAGTGGTTAATAACTGTTGCTCTTTTCTGGAGATTTTTCACTTTGAAAGTGGCCAGTGCATTCAGGGAGTGTCTTAAGAAAAGGGAAGAAGGCAAGAGGAGAAGCGGAGGATGGAGAGAGACCCCCAGTCTCTTCCCCTAAGGCACCTTTCCCTCCTCCTGGCAAGCATCCCTGGGTGTGGGCAGCTGCCTAGGGGAGCGTGCACCGTCCGTCATAAACTGGGAACCAAAACCTGGAACAAGCAGCTTTAACTAGCTTAGACCCAAACGTAACTCAAATAGCTGTTCTTCTCCGGACCGTGAAGAAACGTGATTATCCCCCTTCCTAGTAACCAGGTGCGCCCCAAACAGAACTGAAGAGGGAGCCGTGCCCCATCCTCCACTTCATAGGCAAGGGGAGCCTATGCCAGCCCAAGGTCATGGCAGACCCTTGCCTCAGGTCAGCTGTGCGTTTCCTGCTCTGGGCTTTTGTCTCGTGGTGCCAGGATCGAACCCAGGGCCTCCCCATGGAGGTATGTGCTCTCCCGCTGGCCGCAACCCCTTTTCCCACTCTCTATGATCTCTTTTCTCAGCGTAAGAAATAATATGAGTGGTGTCATTGGCGGTGGCTTTTTGTTGAATAGTTGCTCAAATGAGTGCTGCCTTGCATGGCCCTCAAAAGTCGGGGAAATTTTCAAAATGTTTCGTGACTCAATTTTGTTCTGGTTACTAATATGGACATTTGTATTTGATGGATTTGTTTACTCATTTTCTTCCCTTTCCCTTTCTCTCTTTTAATTTTTTTTTTTTTTTGGTGGTGTGAGGAGGGCTGGAGCGATAGCACAGCGGGTAGAGCGTTTGCCTTGCCTGCGGCCAACCCGGGCCGACCCGGGTTCGATTCCTCTGCCCCTCTTGGAGAGCCTGGCATGCTACCGAGAATATCTCACCTGCACAGCAAAGCCTGGCAAGCTCCCCGTGGCGTATTTGATATGCCAGACACAGTAACAAGTCTCACAATGGAGGTATTTCTGATGCCCACTCAGCAAATCGATGCACAGTGGAAGGACAGTGCTACAGTGGTGAAAGGGATCAAACCCAAGTCCTGACATTCAGTCACGTGTTTTTCTGCTGACCCTCGTCTATGGCCTATTGCTTCATTGTATTACTTCATTGTAAATTTCAAATGTTTGTCTTATTGGGGCGGGGGGGCGAGGAGGGTGAGTTAGGGGCACACTCAGTGGTGCTCAGGGTTTTCTTCTGGCTCTGTACTCAGGGATCACTCCCGGCGTGGCTTGAGAGACCATATTGACTGCCAGGAATCGAACCAGGGTTGACCACATGCAAGGCCAGTGCCCTACCCACTGTACTACCTCTGGCCCCACCTATCAGATGTTTTAGCAAGATGCATCTAAATCAGAGGTTAACTGGGAGAGACTTGCCACCAGGGACACTGGCAATTAAGGGGACATTTTCAGCTGTCACTGGCTATGGGAGTGTGACCCCTACAGGGAGAACCCAGCACGACTCCCTCTCTGTGCCTAGGACAATCCCTCATCAGCCCTAAATCTCCACCTCCAGATGTAGCCACGCTGATCTACATGTAGTGACACAGAGGTGGTCGAACGATAGTACAGCAGATAAGGCATTTGCCTTGACTTGCACCCTGCTGAGTCCAGTTCGACTCCCAGCACCACAGAAGTTCCCTGAGTGCTCCCGGGAATGATCCCTGAGGGGCAGGAAGATAGAGAAGAGACTAGTATGACAATAATAGTTGGAAATGACCGCGCTGGATAAGAACTGAGTGGTGGTAAAAGTAGGTAAAAGGATATACACAAGCTTTCAGTATCTGTATTGCAAACCACATGCCCAAAAGGAGAGAGAGAGAGAGAGAGAGAGAGAGAGAGAGAGAGAGAGAGAGAGAGAGAGAGGTGGCTGGTGGCTGTTGTAGAGGCAGGCAGGCAGGGGGGTGGGAGTGGGGGGTGATGGGAGGGACCCTGGGGACATTGGTGGTGGGAAATGTACACTGGCGGAGAGATGGGTGTTGGAACACTGTGTGACTGATACCTAATCATGAACAGCTTTGTAAGGGACTGTCTTACAATGATTCAATAAAAAAAATCTGAAAGAAGAGCAATGATCCCTGAGCAGAGAAGCAGGAATCTCTGAGCACCCCGGGTGTGGCCCTCAAACCAAATATATACATATATATATTTTTTTAAATTTAAGTAAAGTGACACGATGGAGCCCAGTGCCCTTCAGTCCTGCTCCGTCCCTACTGAGTCTGTACCTCCCGGGGGCCCCGCCCCCGCCCGCTGTGTCCCTACATTCCTGCTGTTCTCCCGAGTGTGCCAGGAATGCCATAGCAGCGTTTGGCCTTTCCTCACTTCATCCTGCATTGGCGCTTCCATGCCCCTTGCCTTGCTGCCCTCAGTCTTCCGGGTGGGTCGAAACGTACCCATTACCTGACTGGTCCTCGTGTGCCCTGGGAGAGCCCCTGAGACTGGGCCAGGTGCACGGCCTGGTCTGGGAGGGGGAGCTTGTGGCCAGCCCCCTCCTCCTGCAGCCCAGGTTGATGCCATCAGTGTCTTCATCATCAAAAGGCCTTTATGAAGCGCCCGGTCCATCTACCCTGGCCCTGGGGTCCGGCTGCAGAGACTTTTCCAGCGGCCCGTGGCAGCCGGGCATGTCTCCTTAGCCAGCAGTACTTATGCCCACCTAGCAGGAAGACATCCAGAGCTGGGCTCGAGGCCCTTGGCAGAGGGTCCAACAGCAGACCCATAGGCAACAACATTCATGCCAAGTGTGAGTGGATAATGTGAAGCACTCAGTTCCCTGGGGCTGACCTCTCACACCCTCTCCTCCAGCTGCCCTGGGCTCTTTGCAGAACGTGGGGTTTTTAGGTGCTTTGGGGCAGCTCCCGGTGACTCCACAGGAAAGCAGATGTGCCATGTGTGCAAGGTCCTGGGTTCAAGCTGCGTTCATTCCCCAGTACTGCAGGGTGTGTTTCCTGTCAATAAAGCAACAACAGGGGCCGGAGAGATAGCACAGTGGGCAGGTCGTCTCCCTGGCACGCGGCTGACCCAGGTTCCGTTCCTGACATCCCACGTGGTTCCCTGAGCATCATCAGGAACGATCCCTGAGCACAGAGCCGGGACTAAGTCCTGAGCACAGCCAAGGGCCAGGAGGTGGGGGATGAGGGGAAGCAGCTTGACAGGTCCAGAACTCGGGATCAAGTGCTCCTGATGGAAGTGTTCAAAGTGAAGAAAGTCAGCTGTCCCCTGAGTGTCCCCTGCCCACTTGTCTCACCTGTGTCCCCATTCCCTCCCGGCAGGTCTTCCATGAACAAGGCATCCTGTTTGGGTACCGGCACCCGCAGAGCTCGGCCATCGCCTGTGTCCTCAGTCTCTTCCAGATGACCAATGAGACCCTCAACATCTGGACTCACTTGCTGCCCTTCTGGTACCTCCTGCCCCTTGCTCAGCTGGTCTCTCAGGAGCCCTGGAGTTCCCCTTCTCTTGACACAGCGTGGGTGGGAAAGGCTGGTGGTCCAGGCTGGAATTTATGGGACTCCCTTCTGGTGGGCGAGTGTAGGGTGAGAGACGCAGGGACTGCAGTTCAGGGGGACTAGAAGTGGTGCCTGGTGGCTCCCCAGTATCCCCTGCTGCTGCCCTGGAGGCTTCCAGAAGTCCAGGTTCAAATGCTTGCTGACTGGGGCGAGCGGTTTTCTGAGCATTGATATTCCCAGGGGGAGGAGCAGAAATGAGCATCTGGACTTCCCCTGGGTGCCCTGAGGATTGCGGGAAAGTATTAGAAGAGACTTTGGAGTAGCCCCACCCGTCACGTGGGAGACCAGGGTTCGATCCAACCAGGGGAGGCCGCCTCTGCTCTTTGGGGCCACACGACAGTACAGCAGAGAGGGCGCTAGCCCTGCATGCGGCCAACCTGGTTTCACTCCCTGGCGTCTCACGTGGTCCCCTGAGTCCAACCAGGAGTGAGTCCTGAGCACAGATCCAGGAGTCAGCCTGAGTACTGCCGGGCGTGGCTCCAAACCCAGAGAGAGAGAGACAGGCATGAGCAGGAATTGGCACGTCTGGGGTGGGCCCAGAACCTCAGTAGCGGCCAGGCGCCAGCTGGGCAGGATTCAGAGATGCAGCACAGAGCCAGGCCAGAAGTGCCCAGCTGAGCAGGGGCCGCTGGGAAAGGGAGGGATGGGGCCACACGCCCCCCAGGGACAGGCAGTGATGGAGCCACATAGCAGGGCTGGAGGGTCTCAGAGGTCCTGCAGGCCACAGGCCCCCTAAGGCCCCTATTGGCTGCCACGGAGTGGCCCAGAGCAAGGGGGTCATGTCCTGGCTCTGACCGCCCGCCCGGACTCCCCTCCCCAGGGTGATGAGAGCCGAGCGGGGGGGAACACCTATGTGAGCGGCGGAGGGTCCTGCGGAAAGCAGCCCTGGGGTCCTGCTCCTGCAGTGGCGCCAGCTCCAGCTGGGCCTGCGGGCAGGGGGTGCGGCCCAGCCCCTGTATGGGGGCACAGGCTGTGCTCTGTGAAGCTGAGTTAGAGGTTTAAATGCAAGGTGGGACTTGGGGCATGCACCTAGCAGGCACCTGATCCAGGCTCCATCCCTGGCCTGCGTGCATTTCTGAGCATCACTGGGAAACCCCAGGCAACAGCACCTGCTCAGGCCCCTGCATTCATCCACCAGCCTGCTTGGCTGAGAATTACCACACCCCTAGGCACAAGGGAACAGAGGAGAGAGAGGGGAGTGGAGGGGAAGGGACGGGAGGAGAGGGGAGGCGGGGAGAGGCGATGGCAGGGAGGGAACACTTTTTTTTTTTTGCGTCACACCCAGCAATGCTCCATGGTTACTCCTGGCTCTGCACTCAGGAATTACTCCTGGCAGTGCTGGGGGACCATCTGCGATGCTGGGAATCGAGCGAGGGTCGGCGGTGTGCAAGGCAAACACCCTACTACCCGCTGTGCTATCGCTGCAGCCCCCAGGGAGGGAACACTTTGAAAAACTGTCATCTGATGGAGAGTTTGTGACAGCGAGGTGATAAGCTATCCCTGATGTGGCACACAGGCTGGACGTCACTCGCTTGCACTCACCACACTGGACATGATGGCAAACTGTCTCTCCTTGCCCACTCATTCGCCACCCGATGCCCCCTCTCCCTGGCATCCCCGGTGGGCCGGGTCTGCCAGGGGAATGGAGAACAGGAGTCAGGGGTGTAGGCTGAAGTGACTTAGCTCTGCTCTGTTCCAGGTTCTTCGTGTGGAGGTTAGTGACCAGGTTCTACGGGACGGACATCCAGCATGACAGCTACTCCTGGCCTCTGCTCGTGTACATGGGCACCAGCTGCGTGTACCCCTTTGTGTCCAGCTGTGCACACACCTTCAGCTCCATGTCCCAGAAGGCCCGCCACATCTGCTACTTCCTGGACTATGGCGCCGTCAACCTCTTCAGCCTGGGTGCGTGAGCCCAACACCTGCCGCGCCCCTCCCCCGCTGCCCTCCTGGGAGCTGGGCTCCGTGTAGGCTCCCCCAGGCTTACAGATAGTGATGGGGGCACCAGGGACTCACCCAGGCTCCACTCAGGGCTATGTGAGAAACTTGAACGGAGGTGTTCAGCATCAGTGCCACAGCTGGCTCCCTGGGGACCACAGCCCTAGGTCCCATTTACACCCGTGGCTCGTGGGGTGTAAGTACTCCTGCACACCTCTAACGGGTCATCAGACACAGGGTGAAGGGAGACCTTGGTAGCACCTCACCACGATTCCACTGAACAGACTCACCAGTTCATTAATAGGATCATTGTAGCTTCTGCTAATGTGATATCCCTCACTGCCAGTTTGTGTAATCTCGTGTTTAATGGACTGGGGTTCTCAGTTGGCCCACTTTGGATCGTACAGTCCTCTCTCTCAGGCTGGTTGGGCCTCTCTGCAGGGCAGAGCTGGCCCAGAGTCTGAGGGAGGTTGAGACGGGACCAGAGAACTGGACAGTGAGCCCAGAGGGGGTGAGGAAGGCCATGGACACATACATGTAACTGTCTGTGTTTCTCTTGTGTTCCTTTGTCTGTCCCCTCTCATGGTAGACAGACAGACACCCCACCATGAGGTGTCCCTCTGTCCACTAATCCCAGTTCCAGCTCCTCCTTCCCTCTTGATCCTTTCTAGGGGCAAAAGCCAGGGAATTGTCTGCACTTGCCAAGAGAGCATTCGCGAGGAGTCCAATTCCACCCTATATCTTATGCTTTCCTCTCTCTCTCTCTTCCTTCACAAGTCACACACACAGTTACACACAAGCACACATACATACACAACATATATGTGCACATACACACATATACACATACATGTGTTTACACATACAGGGCTCCACACATACCTGCAGGTTTTTTCTGTGGTTTCTGTTGCCCAAGGTCAACAGTGGTTCAGAGAGTTACATATAAGATGTTTTGAGAGGGCTGGAGTGTTAGTACAGAGGGCAGGGTTAGATTGACCAGGGTTTGATCCCTGGCACTGTCTGGTCCTCTGAGCCTGCCAAAAGTGATCCCTGAGTGCAGAGCCAGGGGTAAGCCCTGACCACTGCCAATTATGGCCCCAAAACAAAGATGAGAAAATGAGTTGAGACACAAAAATGCCACCTTCATGAACTTTTGTATTCCGGTATTTTGTTATAAATACTATTTTATTGGGCTGGAGCGATAGCACAGCGGGTAGGGCGTTCGCCTTACAAGCGGCCAACATGGCCGACCCGAGTTCGATTCCTCCGCCCCTCTCGGAGAGCCCGGCAAGCTACCGAGAGTATTCGATATGCCAGACACAGTAACAACAAAGTCTCCAATGGAGACGTTACTGGGCCCGCTCGAGCAAATCGACGATCAACGGGAGGGCCTTTACCTTTACCTTTACCTTTATTGTTAGGAGTCATTCACTACTCAAAGGTGTACGTGGAGGGAGAAACGTATGTTGGATTTGCCACTGTCTTCCTTTCCACCTCTCTACTGGCGGCCTGCACATATATCCCTGGACATAGGGGAGATTACTTTACACGCCCACATCCACAAGCATATGCACATCTCATGAATGCACATGGACACATGCGGTATTCTGCACTCCCCCTCCCACTCCTCAAAGCTTCACTGCCCGGTGCCAGCCTCTCCTCCACTTGAGCTGGGACTGGAGGGAGAGAGAGCTCAGTGGGTTTTGCATGCAGAAGACCTGAGCGCCCCCCCCCCCCCCCCCAGCACTGCACGGTCCCTATCCTCCACTCCCAGCACCACTCAGGGCAACCGTAGAGCAGAGCCAGGAGTGGTCCCAGCCCCCTGCTGGCCCTTGCAGCCCTGAGATCCCTCTGGGTTCTCCTCTCTGTCCTAGCAGCATGGCCTCCTGGCTCTCCCTCTCCTTTCTTAGAATCATCTCTTACACAGTCGAGGTCCCTGGGGGTCGCCTCTGGTCCCACACCATCCCCCAACACCCTTGAATAGTGGGCTCCCCTCTCTAAACCACTGCCCTGGTACCCCCCTGCCCCTCTGGAGTGGGAAATCTGTAAGGAACGAGGGGTCTCCTCCCTCAGACTCGGGCCCGCTACCAGCCTGCTTGGTAGTGGGCTTGGCCCACTCCCCCCAGCCTGTGGGATGACTAGTGCAGTTACTAACACTGCAAAAGACTCTGCCCTCAAGACATGGCTCTGCCCTAGCATCCTCCCAGCCTCCCCTCTGCCACCCAGCCCCCACCCTACCCCTGGGAGATTTCTATCGTTTCTCAGCTACAAGAAGTCTTGGCCATGGGCTGGGGCGATAGCACCGCGGGTAGGGCATTTTCCTTGCACGCGGCCGACTCAGGTTCGACTCCCAGCATCCCATATGGTCCCCCAAGCACCACCAGGGGTAATTCCTGAGTGCATGAGCCAGAAGTAACCCCTGAGCATCGCTGGGTGTGACCCAGAAAGAAGTCTTGGCAAGTTTTTTCTTTTCTTTTTCTGTTCGTACTTATTTTATGTACTTTGGAGCTGGGCCCACAGCCGGTGGTGCCCAGGATCACTCCTGGCAGAGCCCCGGGACCATATTTGGTGCCAGGGATTAAAACCAGGTTGGCCGCATGCAAGACAAGTGCCGTACCCACAGCGCTATCTTTCTGGCCCAATTATTTTATTTTTAAAATACTATGTTATTGTTGAGGTAACATAGTTGACGGTAGTGTCAACGGTTATGCTTTAGTTGGACAAAGGTACTGAGCCTCTATCAACAGGGTGCCCAGGACCCCACCACTGGTCTTCGTTGTTTCTAGAGGGCTCACCTCCAGCCTCCTCCCAACCTTAGTTCTGTTGTCAGGATTCCAAGGTTTATTTTCATTGCCATGAAAATCCTGCCTCTCCTTGGCTTTGTACCTCTGTACAACACAGAGGAGTGAGCTCGTCAGGTGTGTCCTAATCTCGTGACCCACTTTGCTCGTCATGATCCCCTCCAATCCTGTCCAAGTTGGTGTGAACCGTAAGACTTCATCTTTCGGAGCTGCATAATACTCCACTGGGCACATATACCAAAACATCTCTGTCCACTCATCAGTTGTTGGGCGTTTTGGTTGTTTTAGTATCCTGGCTATTGTGCTAAGTGCTGCAGTGAAAATAGGGGTGCACATGCCTTTCTGATTTGTTTCTGTGTTCTTGGAATGGATACCAATGAGTCGAATCACTGGGTCATGTGGAAGCTCTGTTTTTCGTTTTTTGAGATGTCTCCTGACTTTTCCATAGAGGATGACCCTGATGATGGTCCCCCAGCAGAGATGTGGGTTCCTTTCCAACACACCTCGCCCCCACCAGCAGCAGCTATTTCTAGACTTCTCATTGATCTCATGATTTGAGCTTCCACTTCCGCGATAATCAGCCATGGTGAACTTCTTCACGTGCCTCCCGGGCCTCTCTTTGGGGATATGCATCCTCTTCCCATCTTTTGATGAGGTGCTTTGGCTTTGGGGCTGTCAAGTTTTGTGAGTGTTTCTGGATCTGGGTCTTAGCCCTTTGTCAGATGTCTGATTCCAGCAATTTCTTCTCTTCTGCGAGCCTCACTGCTCTCATCCATGGCAAAAATTCGGCAAAGCTTCCTCACGGGTGTATTAGGAGACAGTTTTTTTTTTTTGCTTTGTTTTTGGGGGGGGTCACACCTGGCGATACACAGGAGTCACTCCTGGCTCTGCACTCAGGAATTGCTCCTGGCGGTGCTCGGGGGACCATATGGGATGCTGGGAATTGAACCCGGGTTGGCCACACGCAAGGCAAATACCCTACCCGCTGTGCTATCACTCCAGCCCCTAGGAGACAGTTTTGGATGTGAAGCAGGAGAAGGCAGGATCCTCGGAGAGCATCAATGACAGTCTTAATGACATGGACAGCTGTCCCCTGGGACAGGACCCAGCTACAGTGAGAATAAGGACACTGAATGTCACACAGCTTGTACATGGCTGATTCACCCCCATCCTGTGCTGCCTGCCCCAACACCCCCCACTCCCTGCTCCCCAGAACACCACCTTCCAGTCCCTCTGGGCCTTCAGAGCTCAGTGAACCCCCTCCCTCAGCAGGACCCCTTCCTCTCATTCTCTGGGGCACAGCGCCCCCTGCCTGGTGCAGGATGTTCAGTAAACACCATGTGCTCAGGTTCCTGGCTCCATTCTCTGCAGTCCCGTCTACCCACCAGCCCCCACCATGCTTCCATTCCCACTCTGTGAGCCCAGGAGTAAGTCCAGTGCTGGGCAGTCGCACCCCTTCAGCCGTCTGTCCCTCAAGGCCTTGCTGTCACACCCACCAGGTTCCCTTTCTTAGCCTGGCATCCAGGCTGACTCCCGCTTCCCCAGAAACGCCCTCTGCCCTCAGATGTCTGAGCCCTCTCCCCACTCCCAGGGGGCTCCAGGGTCGGTGCCTTTGCCACTTGGCCCCTCTAGACCCTTCTGTGAAATGGACTCAAAGGTAGAGGGTGCGTCTGCTTCGCCTGAGGCCCTGTCACCTGCCTCCAAAGGTTCCCAGGTCACAGGAGCCCTTAGGACTGGGCCCTGCAGGCTGCCTCTTTCAGAAGGGACTCTCGCTGCTGTTTGGCCCTGGAAAGGACAGTGTTGGCTCTGCTCTGCCTGCCAGACCCGTGTACGGGTCTCTGCAAGGTTCCTGGGTCAGCCTTTCCTCACAGAACTCCCAACAGAAGAAAGCACCATCCTGTAGTCCAGCCCCTCAGGAGTCACGCCCAATACACACACTTGCACACTCACACACACACTTACAGACACACACATAGACACTCACAGAAACACACTCTCTCACAGACACACATACACATACACTCACACACAGGCACAAACTCACACATGCACACACAGAGATACATAACTCACAGACACACAAATACGCATAGAGACAAACACAGACACACACTCCCACAGACACTCGGACACACGTACACTCACACACACAAAGAGATACACTCTCACAAACACAGAGATAAACACACTCACAGGCACACACACAGAAACACACGAAGAACCACTCATACTCAGATACACTCAGACACACACACTCAGGCACACATACACTCACGGAGAGACACAGTCACAGGCACACTCAGATACAGACACACAATCACAGATATACGCACTCACACACACTCAGACACACACACGGACCACAGACACACAGACACAGACACACTCTATTTTTTTAATTTTTTTAAAATTTTTTGCTTTTTGGGTCACACCCAGCAATGCACAGGGATTACTCCTGGTTCTGTGCTAAAGAATTACTCCTGGCGGTGCTCAGGGGACCATATGGGATGCTGGGAATCGAACCCGGGTTGGTCACATGCAAGGCAAACGCCCTACCTGCTGTGCTATTGCTCCAGCCCCACAGACACACTCTTACACACATCAGATACATACACAGATACACACACTCACAGACATACACACACTCTCACAGACACTCAGACACATATCCACTCACACACAGGCACAAACTCACATGCACACACAGAGATACACACTCACAGATGCACAGACACACACAAAGACAAACACAGGCACACATATAGAAACACACAAAGAACCACTCACACTCATATTCACTCAAAGACAGACACACACTCAGACACACACACTCATGTACAGACACACACACACTCAGGCACACATACACTCACACACAGACACAGACAGACGGTCCCAGACACACTCAGATACACACAGAGAGACACACAATCACAGATATACACACTCACACACAGACACTCACACACACTCAGACACACACTCATACAGAGACACAAACTCACAGACACAGATACACACAGAGACAGGCACACATTCACACATTCAGACATACACACACTAACAGACACACATTCACACACATACACACACAAACACAGACACATATGCACACATGCATTCTCTCACACACACATACAGTCACGCACAGGCATACACACAGAGACATAGCCACATTCTCTCACACATAAACAGGCTTGTACACACACACACTTACGTGCGCGCAAACACACACACTCCCTGATCTGACACTTCACCAAATCCGGTCCTTCTGTGTTACGCCTGTGTGCTCGGGTAGGTGGGAAGCCCCAGTCTGAGGGGACATGGGGTCATCCTGGGTCCCATCACATGGTCATCCACCAGGCCTGTCATGGAACTGCTGGCTCTAGCGTTGGGCTCTGTGGGCCTTCTAGCTGTTTGTCCCAGGTGGGCGAGTCACCCTCTCGGAGCACCTTGTTTGAGTGCAGGATGTTAGGCGAGGAGCCCTGCAGCCTCCCGGGCCCGGGCAAGTCCCAGGACAGCGTCTGGGCAAGGAAGTGCTGGGGGTTGTTCAGGGGAGTGGGCAGGTGCCAGCTGGGGTCACGGGCTGTGGGCAAGTCACAGCGACGGGGCTCTTTGCCATGCTGTTTTCTCCCCAGGCTCGGCCATCGCCTACTTTGCCTACGTGTTCCCCGACGCGCTCATGCACACGCGGTTCCACGACTGCTACCTGAGCGTGGCCGTCCTGAACACCATCTTCAGCACCGGCCTCGCCTGCTACTCCAGGTACCAGCGCAGGCTCCGGGGGTAGGGGAACAGTGGCCCATTGGGCCGGGCTGGGGGGGGGGTGTCGGGGCGGGGCCAGGGAAGAGGTGGTTCCGGTTCGGGAGCTGGGTTCCAGCTGGACTTGCAGTAGCCTGGCAGGGCCCATGGGCAGGCGGTTGGTTTAGAGCTCAGCTGCTGTGAAGCTCTTTGGGGGAGATTATTGGGCCATACCTGGTGGTGCGCAGGGTTTACTCTGTGCTCAGGGGCCACTCCTATAGATCCTGGGATTCGACCTAGATAGACAGCAAACGCCTCAATCCCTGTGTTTCCTCTCCAGACCAGTCTTGAAATTCTTTTTTTATTTTTTTTCTTAATGGTTTTGGAACCACACTCAGTCATGCTTAGGGCTTACTCCTGGCTTGAGGGGACCATATAAGGTGCCAGAAGTTGAACCCAGTTGGCCGTAAGTGAGACAAGTGCCCTACCTGCTGTATTATTTCCAGCCCCAATTCTTTTTTTTTTTTTTTTTTGCTTCTTGGGTCACACCTGGCGATGCACAGGGGTTACTCCTGGCTCATGCACTCAGGAATTACTCCAGGCGGTGCTCAGGGGACCATATGGGATGCTGGGAATCAAACCCTGGTCGGCCGCGTGCCAGGCAAACACCCTACCCTGCTTGCTGTGCTGTTGCTCCAGCCCCGCCAGCCCCAGTTCTTAAAGGAGTTCTCTGCTTTCCAGTTGCCCCAGCTCTTAACATCACGCTGTCATTCAGGCCATCACGTGGACTCCTGAAGCCTTGGCTTGCTCACCTGTAGAGGGGGCTCACATCTGTCATAGACAAATGGAAGGACTCCAGGCAGTGCAGCTGTGCAAGGCCAGCAGAGGGTGCCCAGGGCAGAATGCTGGCTGCCACCCAAGGGCCCTGCCTCCGGTGGGTGGACATGGAGGAGCAGAGGTTGCTCTGTGGCCATCCATGTCCAGGAGAAGCTGTGGCTGGTCGGCTCCTTGGCTCTCATCCCCATTCTTCCTTTCACTGGAATAGGAGTGCAGGGGATGCTGTGTGAGGGTCGCCACTTGGCCACTTGGCCACCGAAAAGCTCCCATGAGTGACCTGGGAAATCTTTCAGGTGTGCTCGGGGAATGCAGGAGTGTGTGTGTGTTGGGTGGGGGGTGGTTGTTACCAGACTAGGATGTAGGGGAAGGGTTAGAAAAAACATCCCTAGGGCTGAGGATATACTTCAGTTAAGGAAGAAAGGAAGGGAGGAAGGAAGGAAGGAAGGAAGGAAAGAAGGAAGGAGGGAGGGAGGGAGGGAGGGAAGGAGGGAGGGAGGAGGAAGGAAGGAAGGGAAGGAGGGAGGGAGGGAGGGAAGGAGGGAATCCTTCATCTACCAACTGCACCTCCATTTCTTCCCCTGCTGGCTGCTGCTTCTTGCAAGCACCTCCGCCCCCCCCCCCCAACTGGGAGTGAGGCGGGTGCTCTGAAGGGCAAACCTGGACCCCTCTTTCTTGTGGGCGGCAGTGAAGGATCCTTGGGCTCCAGGGCAAGGTGGTCATGTCTCCCCAGCCTGGAAGGCTGGGTGGTTTGTTTTCCTGGGAGGCCAGTGGCCTTCCAGCCACCTGTCCCGAGTCAGGGGGGTCTGGGGGGGTGGACACTACTCCCCGTTCAACTCTGGGTTTGTGGGCCTCCCTCCTCAGAAGGCTGCGGAGGGGAGTCGGGGCACACTCGCTCGTGCTGGAGGTACAGACTCCCCCAGGGCTCTGACGGCGGGTCAGTCTGTGGGGTAGGGAGCAGAACCAGACGCTCTGTGCTTCGGATCTCCTTCTCTCCAGCCCCTCAAGGACCCTGGCAGTGGACGCTGATGTCTGGAGCAGCCTCTGTGCAGGCCTGAGCTGTACAGATGCCAGGTCAGGTGGGAACCCCACCCCAGGAGAAAACTGTCCCCGAGAAAGGATGCATGGAGGGGCAGGGTTCCTGGAAGGACACGCCCACCCGTCCCAGGCTCTGATTCTGGACCTTGGGGGACACACTGTCTAGAATGGTTAGGACTCAGGGCAGTGTTGGGAATTAGGATCAGCATGAGAGGAGCTCTGTATGCCGAGGGCATGGAAGGCTTCCTGGGCGAGGGGGTTCCCATCCCCTGTGTCCGTGACCCAGGGCAGCCTTGTGGAAGTGGGAAAAAGCTTCCTGAGTGTCCTACGAGCTAGCAGGAGGCTGTTTCCTCTAGCCAGGAGTGACTAGATACAAGGAATGAATGTCTCTTTGCCCGGGTGGTGGGGTGCGAGGTATGCTTGGCACCTCTGGACAGAGTGTTGCTTCTTAAAGTCTCCAGAATGCCCGTTTGGGGGGTTGCCCTGTGGTTCGGAGGGAAACCGTCAGGGGCAGCAGGAAGAGCTGCTGTCTGCCTGCACTGCCTGTGACCTCCAAGGTTCCCAAGAGGAGGGCTGTCTCCTCCAGAAACAGACGTTGTGCACACAGGAAACTGATGAAGGAGAGTTCTCAGGATAAGACTGCCCCCCCCCCCCCCCAGGAAGAGAGGGAGGTGAGACCCTACAAGGAGGAGCTTCCCCCACGGCCAGGCCACATGCTGGAGGCCCGGAAGCTCAGAGTGGAGCTGCCCTGGCTGAGTTGTGCCCAGTGAGAGCAGGAGAGAGATGCAGGCAGAGGTTCCTAACAGCTGGAGGCCAGAGGGTTCCGGAGGATGACAAAAGGGCAGCTAGGACCAAGGCCGGCACACGAGACTGTCCCTGTTGCTGTGTGGTGGGTAAACACGCAGGCACCATGCACAACCGCTGCCACAGAACCTTTTTCCAAAGCCCTACAGTCGTGTGTCCCCGTCCCGTCCCATCCCGTCCCGTCCCGTCCCGTCCCGCCCCCCCACCCCCCGCCAGCTTGCTACTCTGTAGCTATGTGGCAACAGGAATTACCAGGTTCAGATCAAGTCCACCCTCCCTTGATACAAGGTTCTCTCGGGAGCCAGTGTTTCCTGCTAACCTGGTTCTGGATGGAGGAGTCTGGCTCCCTAGAGACTAGTCCCTCCCCACCCCCACACACACACCCCAGCACCCCGAAAGGAATGCACTGCAGGCTGTGGACATTCCGGAGGGTTCCGGTGCCTCTGTTCCCTCCCGCCCTGACTCTTTAGCGGCACCCTGTGGCGAGAGGCACAACTGCAGCTCTGTGGCCAGTGGGCCCTTTCCCTTTTCCCCCAACCTCTGTCCTGTTCTGCTTTTTCTCCTTTTCCCCCACGTAGATTTAGCTTCGCAGCTGGACAGGCCGGTTCATTGGCAACCCCCCGGGGAAGCATTTTATCAGGCTCAGTAAAAATGTTGTCTCAAGCGGCAGGAAAACCATGCTTTCGGGGTGTCCCTCTGCGGCCAGAGCCCACCTTCCCATGTCAGGGGCTCAGAAAAAAGTGCTCAGAGCCAGGAATTATCAGGTGATTGGCAGCAGCACAAGGGGCCAGGTCAGATTTGCAGGAGTCTTGAGTAGATGGCCGTGCTGCCCTGGGGCAGCCGCTGAGGACACGGGCTGAGGTTCAAGGTGTGAAGTTTGGGAGCCAAACGGAGAACCACAGTCCCTGCCCCTTGTTTGCCCTCTCACTTCAGGGCACTTAAAGGGGCCAGAGGGATAGGACAGCGAGGAGGGCGTTTGCCTTGCACGCGGCCGACCCGGGTTTGATTCCCAGCATCCCAGGCTAGGAGTATTTCCTGATTGCAGAGCCAGGAGTAACCCCTGAGCATCGCCAGGTATGAGCCAAAAAGCATCCCCTCTCCCCCACCCAAAAAGGGCACATTGATTGCTCAGAGCCTCTCCTCTTCCTCTTCTTCCCCCTCCCAGGGAGAGAACAGATGCCAGCGGGTACTTTGCTGTGTACTCACGCAAGCCTCAGGGTCAAACCAGGGAGGGGTTTGGCTTGCTGCGCAGGGTTCCGGGGTGCACAGAGCTGGGGTGACACAGTCATGAAGGGCAGAGGTGGAATCTGAACCTGGGGCGACCGGGATCTGGCATGAAAGCACAGTGCTGCTTAATCCCACCCAGCCGGGGCTCCTGTTGGGGGCCGGGGAAGAGGATGAGGGTCGCTGCTTCTCCTCCGTCTCCTCCTCCTCCTGCCATGCCTGTTCCTTCTCTCCACGGAGCCCATGGTGCCTTCTCTGGTTGTGACAGGGTTGAGGAAGAAGGGTGGGCTGGAGCGGGTGGGGGCTTGTCTGTGGGGACAGTGGGGCTTCTCGGGATCCCTGGGGGCTGCCTCCTACCCAGATCAGGGACCCCAAGCTCAGCTGCCCTGGGAGATGCACAGCGTGTGCTCAGGCAGGCTTTAGCATAGGGGACCTGGGGTCCAGACGCGAGCAGCCCCACACCTGCTCTGACCATGCCCCCAGAGGCCCGGGGCAGGGAGCAGAGGGCAGGGGGAGGGCTGTAGTCAGGCCACTGTGATGGCTCGCAGGACACGGGCAGGTTAGGCCATAGATGCAGGGGGCCATGACTGTGGGGAGGAGCAGAGGGTCTGGGGAACTGAGGGAGTGCTTGTGGCAGAACAAAGAAACCTGTCTTTGCAGGAGAGGATCATTGGGCAGATTCAGGGGAGCCCCTGGGACCTGGTTACACTCAGTTCTTGTCCAATGTGATCATTCCCAGCTCTTATTATCTCTATCTTAATTGCTCTCAGCCCTCCACTCACTTCCAACCTCGGTTTTAATCTCAGCTCTCCCTGTATGGTTCCCTGAGCACCACCAGGGGTCACTTCTGAGCCAGGAGTAGTCCTGAGCACCGCCAGGTATGCTCCCCACAAAGAAGGTGGAAGACAATTGTTGTGGGATGAAACTGGAGAAATAGGGAGGACACTTAACAGTGCATGTGGCTGATCCCCGGCATCCCATATGCTCCCCCAAGCACTGCCAGGAGTAATTCCAAAGAGCAGAGCCATGAGTAATCCCTGAGTATCGCCAGGTGTGTGTGGCCTGAGGGGGGGAAAAAAAAAAAGAAAGAAAGAAAATTGTTATGGAATTGGGGCTATGGCTTGAAGAACTGGCGTCTGTGAGGAGACCCAGGTTCAGTCCCTGGCCTGCGTGGCCATCTGGATTCCAGCAGGGCCAAAGAACACTTGGTGGCGTGGGGGGTGGGATCCCAGACCTCTGCTCCTTGTGCTCTGACACCCCAGATGGTTCCTCGAGCACCGCCAGGAGTGATGCTGGAGCACAGAGCCAGGACTCAGCCCTGAGCATGGCCATGTGTGGCCCCAACCCCCTGGGCTGCTGCCTGGACATCTCTGAATAGTTAGGACACTGCGCCTTGTCACGGACTGACCCCTGAGCCTCGGGGGGGGGGGGGGTCACCCCTGACAACGCTTTGCTCAGTGATGCAGTGCTCTGGGACTTGGGTACCAACCTCTGGGGTTTTTAAGGGAGGTCCTCTTGAGCCCTAGTTTCTGGGTACTGGACTTTAAGAGGTTCTTGGGGAGAGAGAGAGAGAGAGAGAGAGAGAGAGAGAGAGAGAGAGAGAGAGAGAGAGAGAGAGAGACAGGGTTTAAGTGCATGCCTTCCACCTCATCAACTCCAGTTCGATCCACTATACCATACAGGGGCCCCTGAGCCCTGAGCACAGAGCCAGGAGTAAACCCTAAGCAGTGCCAAGTGTGGCCCCATAACCAAAACCCAAATAAAGAAAGAAATGAAAGGCTCTTTGGCAGTTAGAGTATGGGGTTCCCAGAGGACCTCGGCCCAGTGCCGCCCGCCTCCCCCCACCCCCATTCATCTGGGTCTCACTGAGTCTCAAAGTGCATCGGGCATTTCTTTCACAGACTGAGCCCATGGGCTTGGAGCGATAGTACAGAAGGGAGACCCTTTGCCTTGTACCCGGTCGACCCAGGTTCAACCCCAGCATCCCATATGGTAAGGACTGCCAAGAGTGATCCCTGAGTGCAGAGCCAGGAGTAACCCCTGAGCATCCTTAGATGTGGCCCAAAAAAGCAGAAACCAAACGAACCTGCAGGAGTGGCTGGGGAAACACCCTCTGCTGAATGAGGCTTGAACGAGGCTTGACCTCAGTCGTTTGGGGAAGGAAGACCCCTTCCCCTCGGAAAGCCCAGGGGGCCCCATCACAAGTCTTGGTCAGTAGGCCTTCCGGTGAGTTCAAGGGCCAGAGGATGTAATACTGCTCAGCCGACGGATACCCGGGCAGTTGGCGGCTGCACCCATGATGCTGGGGATCAGGTGGGCCTGGGAATCCAGCTTGGCCACGCGCTGTAGCGTCACGTGGTACTCTCCAGGCCCGCCCAAGCGTCCGTGCACCAAGACTCCTTCAATCCTGTCTCTTCCTCCTCTGCCTGCACCGTTTAGGTTTCTGGAGACGCAGGGGTCCAGGCTGTACAAGCTGCTGCGCGTCCTCGCCTTTGCCTACCCCTACATCTGGGTGTCGCTGCCCGTCCTCTACAGGGTAAGGTCCTGGGGGCCCAAACACCGTGCAGGTCCCTTGGGGGCACCCACAAGAAGCCCACTTCCCCTCTCCGTGGGACTTGCAGAGTCATCAAGGAGTGATGTGAAGACACAGGCTCTGAGCACCCCTTGGGGACTGATCAGCGGTTGGCGCTGATGGGAGCTCAGGAGCAATCCTGGAGGACTGGGGAGGGGAGGCAACCTGGGACTTAGAGTGACTAAGAGAACTAAAGGGTCGTGGTCACAACACCCCATTATCAGGTTGTGATCAGATATATGAGATGAAGTGCTGGCTGGGGGCAAAGGGGGCATGTCTGGAGGCAGACCTTTGGCAGAGTGAAGCAAAGCAGCAAGTATAGTAATATAGTAAAATAATTGACATTTACTAGAGTAATTTAGTAAATATAAAGAGAGGTCTTTATATAAAGAAAGTCTGGGGCTGGAGCGATAGCACAGCAGGTAAGGCGTTTGCCTTGCACGCGGCTGACCCTGGTTCAATTCCCAGCATCCCATATGGTCCCCTGAGCACCACCAGGAGTACTTCCTGAGTGCATGAGCCAGGAGTAACCCCTGTGCATCGCCGGGTGTGACCCAAAAAGAAAAAGAAAAAAAAAAAAAAGAAGGTCTGTTCAGTGAGGATTTGCGGGCGACTCCAGAGTGGACCCAGGACAGAGGGCGGGGTCGAGCGGGGAAGGCCAGCAGGGTCCCAGGGTCGTAGGCAGTGCTCTTAGCTGCTCTCACCTGTAATGAAGCTTCACTTCCTGTGAGTGAAGGCAGAGAGGGATTCAGCCACAGAGCCCGGGAATGCGGCAGGGGTCAGCTGCAGGCCCACAGAGGAGGGAGAGTGGGAGCCAGGAGGGAAGACGGCTGGGTCTGGGCACAGGCTGGGGGTGCAGCTCAATCCCCGCTGCCCCCGCCCCTTCCTGAACATGGGCCGTGCCCGGGAAACCAGAGCCAGACCAGTCCCGTATGTTTTGTCCCAGGTTCTGTATTCCTGGCTCAGCACTGGGGGTGCGGGGGTGGGGGGGGCGGTGGCGGGGGACTAGGGCTGGGCGGTGGGGAGGGAGATGGAGCTCCCAGAGTCATGAGGATGAACAGGCAGGCTGCGGCCTCAGTGCTCAGCGAAGCTGTCTGGAGGTGGAGTGTGATAGTGGAGGCTGGGATGATGCCCACTGGCATGGACGCCGCCCCATGTCCCAAACAGCAACTCCACTTAGCTCCTAAGTATAAGTCACTCTCCGATGACTCAGCGGCCTTCCCCGGGTTTAATTAGGACCATCAGCTCCGTGGGGGGATGCTCAGATGGTGAACAGACTACTTAATACCAGATTTACTTTCCCCTGTTCTTTCTTTGACTCTGGAGATTTGTTTGTTTGTGTTTGGGCGGAGGGGGTCACACCCAGTGATTCTCAAGGGCTACTCCTACTTCTGTGCCCAGGGATCACTCTTGACGGTTTTTAGGGGGTCGGATATCTACGCAGGACATAGACTCAGCCTGAGCTCTCTCCAGGCTTGCATTGTATCCCCCCCAAAAAAATAGAATTTTTCTATTTTCTTTCCTTTCCTTATGTCTTCTTATGTTACTACTATGACTGTTGTGAAGTTAATACAAACCATTATGCCCAGAAAGAGGAGTGAGAGCAAGAGTGGGGGGTGGGGGGAGAGGAAGAGAGAGAGAGAGAGAGAGAGAAGACGGGGGGGGGGGGGGAGAGAGAGGGAGAGAGTGAAGAGAGTGAGTGAGAGAGAGAGGAGAGTAAGAGAGAGGGAGAGAGAGAGTGAGGAGAGCAAGGGAGAGAAGTGCCTGCCATGGACATGGAGGCTGGCTGGGGTGCTGAGGCGTGGAGAGGTGGGGGGGGGGGGTGGGAAGGAAACTGAGGACATTGGTGATAGAAAATGTACACTGGTGAAAGGACGGGTGTTGGAATAGTAGGACCGAAACCCAATCACAAAACAACTTGTGAAACTGTGTATCTCACCGTGATTCAATTAAATAAAAATAAAACGTATGAGTTAACCAAAAAAGTCAACGTAGAGCTAAGAGTCATAGAGTGGAGTACAGCTTTGCTGGTGGGAGACCTGGGCTCAGCGTGGGTCCTCCCCCCCCCCCGCACCACCACGAGTGACCAGTGAGTATCCCCTAGCATGATCAGGTGTGGCCCCGAATGGAGAAATTAATGAATAACCCCCAGGCTCTCCCGACACCCCGGGGGATTCAGACCCCTTCGCCTTGGGCCTCAGTGGCTCAGGGCAGGCTGGGCTCTGCTCACTGTCCCTGGGGCAGTCCGAGCAGGACACAGGACGAGGGTCCTCTCCAGCCCTGACATGTCCTCCCATGCCTGCAGCTCTTCCTGCTCCCCGGGGACAGTGCCCTGAGCGAGGCCACCTTGTACCACCAGAAGCACACGGCCATGACCCTCCTGGCCTCCTTCTTCTACTCCGCACATCTGCCCGAACGCCTGGCTCCCGGACGCTTTGACTACATCGGTGAGTGAGCGGGACTCCCTGCTGCCCGCTGTCCCCTCTCTGGGGGCTTCAGGTCACGTGTGGGCTGTGGCACACGCAGGTGCAAAAGGCTGGCAGGGGCAGGGCGAGGAGCACCTTGACCGGAAGTCCTCGAGGCATAAAATTGGAGGACGAGGCAGGATGGGGAAGGATGGAGAGCGAGTCAGTGGGTTTGACGGCACTCCTGGGCCTGTTTATGGCTCACCTGCAAAATCCCGCGACCGAAAAAACCCTGAGGACAGTCCCTGAGAGGAAGAGGGAAGTCAGGGCACGCTGGTCTTGGGGCGACCCGGCAATGGCTGTCCCAAGGACGGTCTTTGTCTGGTTCTGTTGGGAGCAGCTGCAGAATCACGGGAGAGCCTGTGGCTTCCGGCTTGGGCAGACACCCCCACGGAGACACTGCGAGGAGGTGGACAGGCCCCGGGTGGGTAGGGTGCTCGGAGGCTGTGTGTGGTTCTCCGGGGCCAGGCCTGAGCTCTGGTTAGAGGCAGGGTAGCTGCAGGGCCGGGAGGGGAGGCTGGAACTCGCACTCCACACCCCACCGCCAGAGGATGAGAAGACAGCCTTGGCCCACAGTGCAGGAGCGGGGAGCTCTCGAACAGGAGAGGGGCGGGGGTGCGTGGCAGGGCGGGAGAGGGGTGGGGGAGATAAAGGGAGAGGAATCTCATCTTCCTGGAGCCTGTTTTTGGTTTTTGGATTTTTGTGGGGTTTTTTTTAATGTTAGAAATGTATCTTCTCTCCCCTTTCGGTGAGGGTATTAGAGAGAGCAAAATGCTGAGGGGGGGGGGGCAGATCCCTATAAGGAGGCCGATGAGAAAGACAGGGCATTAGCGGGTGGTTCTGTCAGCTCTCTGGATTCTTGGGAGCATTTTCATTTACTCAACTCTAGTCCATCCTCTTGAACCTAAAATCCAGAATAGAAAACACCCCTATGGCGAGGGAGGCTTTGCCCAGGAGCTGTCGATTAGAGATTATTAACAAGGGGTTTAGAGAGTTCTCTGTCCTTTAAAGAACAAACACTGCTTACATCTGGTTGGAACCATTAAACTCCCCCTTTTCCCAAGAAAATGAAACTGCTTGCCTTGACTTCAAAGAGAGATGGTAGAGGAGGTGAGGGCATAGTGGCACAAAGCTGGTTTGAACCCTGGCCACACTTAGGCCTGCCTTCCTTCCTTCCTTCCTTCCTTCCTTCCTTCCTTCCTTCCTTCCTTCCTTCCTTCCATCCATCCTTTGTGGACCCCATGGGTGGCTCACGTCAGTCGGGAGGAGAGAAAGATGGTCACTTTCTCTCGATCCGCCTTTGCCACCTGGGACCCAGGGTTACTGGGTTCTTGTCTCACTCGCAGAAAAGAATTTCAGGAGTAGAGAAGCAGTGAAGTAAAACAGATTTGATTTTGAGGGTTTTTTGGAGTGTGGAGGAGGAGAGAATGAGAGAGAGAGAGAGAGAGAGAGAGAGACAGAGAGAGAGACAGAGAGAGAGAGAGAGGCGATCAAGAGAGAACACGGGCTTCTCCAGGGGCAGAGAAGAGCCGCTACACACACCCCAGCATTAGATAGTAAAGCGTGAAAGTACACATCTCAAGAGAGGGAATGCGCTCAGGCACCACATGTACCCGGCCATGAGGACACAAGCAGCACACGGGCTTGGGCAGCATATGCCTGCCCTTCCTTTGTTCAAGGTATCTTGTAGGCTCTTCTCAGGTTGTCTTGATCTGGAAGTTCTGGAGTCTTCTCGGGGCTGAATCACTAAAATTAATCGGATTAAAGGAGAGGTTAAATTTCATTGCCGAGGGCCTTTCCCTGTCTACCTGCCTACATCACATGGACAACTAATTAATGACAGGAGCTCAAGGCATTAATTAAGAAAAGAAAGTTAAGTAAAGGGGGCCTGGAGCAATAGCACAGCGAGTAGGGCATTTGCCTTGCACGCGGCCAACCCAGGTTCGATTCCCAGCATCCTACATGGTCCCCTGAGCACCGCCAGGAGTAATTTCTGAGTGCATGAGTTAATTAAAGAAAGAAAGCCCCGTGGGGCCACAGCTATAGTACAGCCGGGAGGGCACTTACCTTGCATGTGGCCAACCTGGGTTCAATCCCCAGCACCTCATATGATCCCCTCAGTTGTTTGTGACCCCTGAGCACAGAGGCAGGAGTAAGCCCTGAGTACCACCAGGTGTGACAGCCCCGCCCTGGCCCCCAGCAGAAAAAAAAGCCTCTTGTAACAAAGGTGCACATATCATGATAAGCCAGCCTAGTCAGAGCTACCCTGTCCTGAAACAAAACAGTTGTTCCCCATTTCTACTCTTTTCCCCCAAAGATTCCCCCTAATCTGCTCTCTCCCCTCTCTCTCTCTCTCTCTCTCTCTCTCTCCCCCCTCTCTTTCTCTCTCCTCTCCTCTCTCCCTGCCTCCCTTCCTTCTCTCCCTCCCCCCCAACCCACTTTGCCTTTTCTGTCCCTCTCCCCAGTGGACTTGGTGCGATCCCCCTGCACGCGACTGCCTTGTGTGTAGCAGTTCCTCCACCTGGTGCTGACGTGGGTGCTGCTGGGTGTGTCTGCTGCAGGGCACAGTCACCAGCTGTTCCACGTGTGCGTGGTCATGGCCACACACCTGCAGATGGAAGCCATCACTCTGGACAAGAGTCTGAGGAAGGAGTGGCTCCTGATGGCCTCCAGGCCCCTGTCTCTGGCTCAGCTCTCGGGAGCCATCCTCCTGAACGTCCTCTTCAGCCTCAGCAATGTCATCTGCTTCTCTGCTGCTCTGTATCGGGCTCCTGAGCCTGAAGGACACCAGAAAGAACTATGACTCCGACCATCATTGGTGTGTGCCAGGCAGCAACTGTCACCTGCAGCCTCAAAGCATCGTGGACCTGCGACCCGGTGCCAGTGCACATGGCCTGCCAGGAACACATTGGCGTCTTGGTATTTTCGGGTGGGTTTGTGTCCAAAAGGTATTTAACTGGGGGAGCTTCTCTAGATGTGCACTGATCCTCTGTGTGTGGTTTTATAAAGGTGACACGGGTTCAGGAGAGACCTTATTCAGGAGAATCATGAAGACTTCAAGAGGGTTTTCAGTTGATTTCAAATAAGGTTTCCGATTCCATTTAAATCTTCAGGGAGTGTGACTACCAAACAGTTGCGTTAAGCTTCACGGGTATGATTCTTCAGGTTGCAGTGCTTTTTGAAAGCGAACTTGTTGGGGCTGGAGCCATAGCACAACGGGTAGGGCATTTGTCTTGCACGCAGCTGACCCGAGTTCGATTCCCAGCATCCCATGTGGTCCCCCGAGCACCACCAGGAGTAATTCCTGAGTGCAGAGCCAGGAGTAACCCCTGAGCATCACTGGGTGTGACCCCCCCCCCTCCAAAAAAAGAAAGTGAACTTGTTTAGGGCGGGAGAGATAGTACAAAGGGCAAGGCACTTGCTTTGTACGCAGCTGATCTGGGTTTGATCTCCAGCACGCCATATGGTCCCCCCGAGGTCAGCAGTGACCTCTGAGCACAGAGCAGGAGTAAACCCTGAGCACTGTCGGTGTGGCCTAAAAACCAAAAAAGAAAGAAAAGGAAGAGACTTGTTGGATGGATACCATAGGCATCAGTAAAGCCCTTCCCAGGGGCTGTGTGTGTGTGACTCTGTCAGCTGCTTTGGGGACGCCTAGCAGGTCAGTGAGGATCTGCTGAGTCTGGACAGGGAGGCCAAGGAAGGGCAAAGACCATCTGGTGGATCTTCTTCCTTCCCCTCCCAGTGAAGGGAAGGGATAGATCAGAGGAAAACCTTTTCCCCCAAGTCTTTCCCTTTCACAGCTTAGCCGGCTGGGTTTGGATCTGGAGTCTGCTGGGGGGTCATGTGTTCTGACATGTTCTAGTGTCTTGCTGCCAGGTTGATGTTGCAGAAGGCGCTGTGCACAGAATGCATTTCCTCATGCATTCCATTGAGCTGGTGAGTCTGTCCCATCCTCAGTGCTTGTCTGCCCCCTTTTAAACCAATGCTGGCACCATATATGGGCTGAGTCCCACTAGGTGCTGCCTCAGCATTTCAGGCAGTCCACGAAATTTTGTGGGCCCCAGACCGGAATGCTGATTGTGAAGCTCAGGCTTTACAATGAACCAGAAATTCCAGGCACATTTGGGAGGAATGCAAATTCTCCAGGCGTACTGGGAGGCAGACTCTGCTTACAATGGTAAGTGTAGGTTTCCTGGCCCACAGAGATAGTACTGCAGAGAAGGTGCATGCCTTGCCTGTGGCCAACCCAGATCCAATCCATATGGTCCCCTGAGCCCCTCTACGTGCAGAGCCAGGAACAAGCCCTGAGCATTGCCAGGTATGTATGTTTCCTGCTGGAGAGATGGCTTGAAGGATGTCTGCATGTGTGAGGCCCTTAGTTTGATCTCTGCTAAGGTATGCCCCTCCAGGGCTCTGTCCTCTCTCCCTCTCCCTCACCCTCTCCCTCTCTTCTCTCTTCTCCCTCCCTCTCCTCCCTCCCTCCCTCTCTCTCCTCTCTCTCTCCCCTCCTCTCTTCTCTCCTCTCCCTCCCTCTCTCCCCCCTCCCCTCCCCTCCTCTCCCCTTCCCTCTTCTCTCTCTTCTCTCTTCTCCCTCCCTCTCCTCCCTCCCTCCCTCTCTCTCCTCTCTCTCTCCCCTCCTCTCTTCTCTCTCTTCTCTCCTCTCCCTCCCTCTCTCCCCCCTCCCCTCCCCTCCTCTCCCCTTCCCTCTTCTCTCTCTTCTCTCCTCTCCCTTTCTTCACCCTCCCCTCCCCTTTCTCTCTCTCTCACTCTCTGTCGCTTTCTTTCTCTCACTCTCACTCATTCTAGCTCTCTCATTCTCATTCTCACTCTCACTCTCTCTCCCTCTCTCTTTTCCTGGAGGAGAACTACCCTGGAGCAAATCCCCAGGGACTGAGCCTCAGGCCATACCTAGAGATTTGAGTTCCGGAAGACAGTGGTGGCCCTATCTGGTTTCTTCATTTTTTTAAGGACCTTCCCAGCAGTGCTACACCCTACAGTGCTCAGGAAGCCACACCTTCCTACTAAGGACTGAGCCTGCAGCCTTTGTGCTTGGAGGCATGTTCTCGCCCTGTGAGCCCTTCCTGGCCCATCAGCCTTATTTTCATGAATCTTCTTTTCAGCAGCATACCACCCAAGGCAGTGCCACCCTCTCTGCACGTAAACACTGGGCTTGGCATCTTCTCTTCAGCTGCATTACTAACTACAGCTCAGTATTTCGTAGTGTTTTCAGTGCATACAGAAATGCTGATGCAAAGTTATTTTTAGTTACAAAGGCCCATCAACCAAAGTGAACTGCACTTGCTAATGGCATTCTTCCCAGTGCTGGTTTGGTTGAGGCAAGAATATCCACATATCTTAGAATACCACCTCCTTTAACTTGCAGTATAACATTTGAATGGCCTTGCAAACAGTTCATTGTCCAATCCTCTTCGGCCAAGTAGTGATAAATATTGGATGAAGGTGGAGGAGAAATAAGGTTTGATTCATTTTATTATGTTTACTTCCTCTCGGAAAGATGGGCAGACTGATGCAGTTCTGAGGGTGGGTCAATATTTTTGTACATTAATTGCAAACTTTTTTTTTTGGCAACAAGTTAACATGTTAGTGGAATTCTCCAGTGTGTCTGTGCCTTAAACTAGGACAAGGGCACAGAGTTTAAGAAAAATACTCTAATCCAGAAATGCCAAGGTGTAGGGCTGGAGAGTTAGTACAGCAGGTAAGGTCCTGACCTTGTACGCAGCCAACCCTGGTTTGATCCCTGGCACCCCATTAGGTCCCCCAAGCCACACCAGGAATGATCCCTGAGCCTGAGGAATAAGCCCTGACTACTCCCTGGTGTGGCCCAAAACAAAACAAAAACAAACAAAAAAAAGAAATGCTAAAATTTTTCTTATTTATAGAGAATAATGTCTTTTGTTTAGCACAGAAGAAATTGAAAGGAAACAGGGAATGAATTTGAAGGACTTTTAAATTATTTCATCTTTCCTTATTCAGTGTTTGCATCATGCTTTAAAGGGGAAAAAAATGTTAAAATGACAAAATCAAATCAAGTGTTTCATAATGTCTTCAAGACTTCTGCAAACTTGAGTTCCTTGTATACTTTTGGACAAATGAAAATTGCACAACAGTTTGCAATACATAGATTTGAAGCTTCTCCTATGAAGTGAGAATGTATTCAGACAGATTGTCATTAAATATTAAGTCTTATGTGGGAATGTTTTTGCCCATGTCATCCCAGAAAGTCGAAAGGGTTTGCAGGGGAAGACCTCACTGGGAAAAGATGTCTTTTAATGTAATGATTCTAAAAAAACACTATGATGTGCCAACATACTGGAGAGATGTGACAGTCCCTTTGATAATCCAGTTGCTCACTAGAAGGGATTATGGGAGGCTGGGGGCTCACTCCTGATGGATGTATTTCTTCCCCCTACCCCTGACTTCAAAAACACTACTCCAAGATTTGTCAACATTGTAGTTGTATAAAGCTTGTGTTTGAAGAAAGCCATTTAATCAACTCTATTCCCTACCTACACTCACTGTTGAATTCATTGTTGGTTTTTAAAAGAGACTCCATTATCTTTCAAAGAAGTGAACCGATCATGGTTGACTAGAATTATATGTGGAACATTTAGAAGCTTGGGTCTACAAAGTGATTTAAATATTTGGTCTTCTGAGGTCTTTGATCCAGGTGACAGGGTTTATTTGTAGAACTCTGTTGGTATTCAAAGTCTCTGAGGAAGGTGGATGAAGTTGGATGGTACTCTTAGCTATGTTGGAGAAATTCTTCATTCGGATCCAATGGGTCCCAAGTTTGTTTTGGCTCTAGTACTACTTTTACCCGAAATGCCTATTGATCAACACTGTTTAATCAATACTTGATAACATATTCACTGAATGCCTACCTGGGGTTTTCTAGTCCGTTTTGAAACAGAGATGTTAAAAACCCATTTCTAAACTTGGAGATGGTCTTCCAATTTAACGTCTGGTTTTCTTAGATCATGAAGAGAAAAATAAAAATTATTTATTTTTGAAAAGTTCTCCTGTTTTCTACTTGAGATTCTTTCCCACCTCCCAGTGTGCAAACATGCTTGTGCATGACAAAAAACAGGTTCCTGTATGCATATGTACCTGCATGCAGGGGTGGCACGGGATAAAAAGCTGGCTAGCCAGTATGTCTGCCAAAGATTTGGTGACTGAGTATAGGAGCAGGAGAGGCAAAAATCAGTGATGATACCCAGAGCCTCTGGGCTGGTAAGGTGGAGCTGCCATCACTGTGGGTTCTGGGGTAGGTGCTAGATGTGAAGAGTCTATGAATCACGCATTAGAGAATCCAGAAGGTAGCTGGATGTAAGACTCTGGAGCTCAAAAATACAGAAGGGAAGGTGGAGTTATTGGAAATGAATGTGTGTGTGTGGGGGGGGGTGGCGTCCAGTGAGGAGCCAGGTGGAAGACCTATGCCGTGATGCTTCGGGAGAAAAAGGTCCATAAATGAGGCTGAGGAGGAGGAGGAGGAAGTTTAAAGAGCTAAGAGAAGGGGACTGGAGAGCTAGCCCAGCGGGTGAGGCATTTTCCTTGCATGTGGCTGCTGACCTGACTTTGATCTCTGGTACTCAGAGTCTCCTGCCTCCGCACCTGGCTGTCCTCACCGGGGGCCCCTTGGAGGAGGGTGGGTTGAGTTTCCCTCCCCACCCCGAGCAGAGCCCCGGCAGCTGAAGACCTCCGGTTCCAGCCACAGCCATGCTTAAGACCACTCTCCACACGTTTGGCGGAGCCTCACGCATGAAGGAACCGGCCGAGGAACCCAGGTGTGCGGGACCCGGGGCGTAGATCTC